AGGGGCTCTAAAAACCCTGAATATGGCACTCTAGTGCTGAGATGGAGGATGAAGGTGACAAACACAGGCTGACTCTCTGGGACACTCTCACAAATCCTAGCATCGGAGGTGTGTCCAGCGTGGGGCATAGTAGAGGTCAAAGGAGGATAGAGTTGTAGTGCATAGTGTTGTGGAGGTTTGTGTGGTACTGATGCCCATGGACAGCAGGGGAAGGCTGCCATATCTTAGGCAGTGCTCTAGAGTTTGTTTGCCACAAATTTCCTCGGCCCCTTGAGCAGCCTCCAACTGGGAAAGTGCTATGCCACCTTAAGCTGTTTTAGCTCCCTCTCCCCTAGCCTGAGTCCTGTGCTGCACCTCTTAGAGATGCAGAGCAGAATCTCAGTCGGGGTCTTTTACCTTAGTAGGTTACATCTGGGGGCTCTAGCCTGCAAACACATCTCTTAGAGATGCAGAGCAGAATCTCAGCCGGGGTCTTTTACCTTAGTAGTTTACATCTAGGGGCTCTAGCCTGCAAACACACGCTACAGGGGGATAGTATTTTTTTGCACTGAGTAGTATCATTAATTTCAGTGAGCCTACTCACAGAAATAAGCATTGCATTCAGAAGTTAATGCTTGCTGGATTAATCCTTAAATATGTTGGATAATTCATTTAACACCTAGCTGCTAAGAAGATGGATGCTGCAGAGAGATGAAGTATAAAGATGTGAGGTTACTTCTGCTAGCACTGTACATAGTAGGTTTGAGATCCTGTTACTGTGAGATCCTGTTACACTGTTGTGGCACCACCAAAAGTTCTTCAAGGAGTATAAATGGACCTCTTAGAATACTCTGCACAGAGAGGGCTACTTGACTAGTTTAGAACTGGTATAAGGGCTCTACTCCAGACCTTCTCCAAATCCTCAGCATAATGGGGTGGACCAATAGTATATCTCAAGTGTGACCAGAATGCACTTTAGGGCTACTTGACTAGTTTAGAACTGGTGTAAGGGCTCTACTCCAGACCTTCTTCAAATCTTCAGCATAATGGGGTGGACCAATAGCATATCCTAAGTGTGACCAGAATGCACTTCACTGTGCTTATTCTGTTTCCCATGGCCAGAGTGTAAAGTCCTGTAGCTGCCTTAATTCACACTAATGCCCTGCATGGCTCCAGAAAAGCAGAGGTTCCTAAAAGTTGTCCTTCCCCCCATTCTGTACTGAGTAACTGAGAATCTGGCCTCTTGTGTTAGCTCCTTTATTCATTTTATTTTGGTTAAATTGTGTGTGTGATCTTTGAAGAGCCGGTCTAAAGACATAGCATTTGAGGAGGAATTTGAAGAATGGGCAATTTGAGGCCATACTTGTGATGTAAGGGTTAATCACTTCCATTTCAATTTTCACAGAATATGAAACATCTTAGTGGGACATCAGCAGGAGCTCTAGCTGGATTTCAGATTTTCCATGACACAAGAGAGCAGCACCATGGAGAGGAGCACATGACTCATGGAACAATCATCTCAATCAGAGGTGCCAGATTTCAGAAAACAATTTTATATTTAGTGATCATATCTGAAAAATGGATAGATCATCTCATAGCAGTAGTATGATGTCTCAAAAACTGATATGTATTTTAAATCTAATAATGTCTAGTTTATCAATGCATCAAAGAAATGGCAGCATTTTATATAGAAATCATCTATTTCTTGCATCAATAAAACTTTAATTATTATTATTCCCAAATTCACCCTTGAAGCATCTAAGTATGAATAAGCAATATTCAGTACTCAGCTGCACCACTGCAAGTTTTTGTATGATACATTGCAGGTGTCTAAATCATTAATTAATAGTATAGGGGTGCTTAGCATCTTTCCTCCTGTAAATAATATTCTGAAAGCAAACCTTGTTGTCCTTTTTCTTATTATGGTAATGCCAATCCTGCAAGACACTTGAGTGTTAACTTCCAATAGAATCAATGGGAATTAAGGGCACTCAGCACCTCTTCCTATTGGGCCTTAAAGGAAAATAGAGTTTAAAGCCCAGCCACCCTGCTGAGCTACTGCTATAAACCCAATCCTGCATGCTCTTATTCAAGTAGTAAGACTGATCCTGAACTACGTGGAATTTTTTATAAAGACAATGTAGGCAGTGAGCAGTACCATGACTGCTGCATTTATAAGAGGTGCAACAGGTTGAGGCACTAGCTTGCTCTTTCCTGAGAAAGCCACATCACTGAAGGGTGAAAGGCCTCATTTGCATATGATGTGCGTTAAGTTCCTATGCAACAGCTTCATAGTTTGTGAGAGGAGATTTCATTGTGCTAAATTCATCCATGGTGTAACCCCCCATTAATATTAGTGAAGTTATATCCCAGCCATCAATTTGATCCACTAAGTAGAAACCACAGTCCTGCGGCACTGAAATAACTGAACAAAATTTGTCTGTTCATAACATGGTAACTAATTGCAAAGAAGTTATATGACATCATGTGGTTCAGTATCTGATTGTATTTTTAAATGATCCTTATTGATTTGCCACAAGCCTCTTAAACCATATGGCTGGTAGCAAGACAAATATTTATATAGTTTTCAGATGCATTTGGGAACTGCATTTACAACAGTCAGAGGCAGGAGACAGGAATGTGATATTACCACAACAGTAGAATTTTTAAGATTTATTGTAAGTCAAATATATAGGTACTTCGCTCAGGGGAGTTTTACTAAAACATTAATATGAACATATGAAAATCCCTCTTCATAAGCTAACACTGACAAGCAGCATCCTGCTGCCTCAGGAGTTTGGTAACTCCCTCCTAGGGTACAGATTTAAATCCAGCCCAGGCTGGCAGGAATTGAAGGCTGTTGGATTTCCAGTAGCCTCTGTAAAATGAGTTTGGTGATCTCAGGCCAGTTCTTAGGCAGATGTCCGTAGCAAAGAATTTCCCACAGCAAGTGCTGGTGTTCATAGAAGGAAGGTGAAACAGAGAAGGGGCTATGGAGACTAAGGTAGCTAAAGATGGTGTTTCTAGTTCACAGGTGTGCACATTGCAATTGTTCAGTGAGGGAAATAGAGCCCTTAGTCTACAGGGGTGGCAAGATGGCATCTTTCCTGAGTGCTAGGGAGAAAAAGAGAACAACACAAAAGTTCATTTAAAAGCTCTTGCATGGCATCAGCAGTCCTTCAGTGATGTGCGGACTCTGGGTTTGGAATTCTCCAACAACTTGCTTACGCTAAATCATCAAAGGTTTCCTGTTCATGATCAAAGTCAGTGAAACACGACGGTATAGCACAGATGTAAACCCTAATTTGAGATTTGTTTCCATTTAGTTTTGCTGCAGTAATGTCAACAGGAATCCCAAAGCCTCTTTAGAATGCAGCGGGATTTACTTTCCCAGGAAATACGCCTTGTTTCTGATGTCATCACTGCAATCATGTTAAATTCAAGTCTGACTGAACAGGCTCATTATCATTCCTTCCATGTCTTCCCTCACAGCAACCTCCTCTCCTTTTCAACAAACACCACTAGCTGCAGGGGAGTTGAGATTAGGGGAAAGGAAGGAAGTGAATAGCTTAACTCCTTGAAAACTTGCGACATTTCTTTAAACTAGTTTCTTAAAACTAAGTTTCATTTTAGGGTCTTCCCTCTAAATTGCAATTAAAGAGGTGCTCATGCTATTTTGATTTTCCTTTCTTGTTCTGTGTTGGACAAAGATTAGGGCATTATGCGTGCTTCTGATATTGATTTTTAAAAAGCAAAATTGAGGCTCTGTTACTAGCCAGAACTGCAGTTTGGAGTAGGAGAAAGTTTGGCAGGCACACTCTTTATGAAGCTTTGTTTTTCTACAACAGGGATTTCATGTTACCACTTATCCAGGTCTAATCCTGAGAGCAGTAACCATGACAGCTTCTGAAGGACAGTGGAGATGATCATTCAACAGCAGAGATGGGGAAAAATGGACAATTTCCAGCTTGGCTCAGCACATTTGCATTATGAACCCCCCTCTCTTGGCAATGGAGAGCACAGATGAAGGAACTCGGAGTGCAGGGACTAAGGGGGCTGCCACACCCTCTGTCTTGAAGTGGTTTCCATCACACAGAGAGTTAATTGGTGGGGCTCTGACCCAGCCCCTGACAGAACCAGTCAATTTAACAATTGAGATCTACCAGGCGGATGTAGATTGCTGAGACACCCATCCCCTGAAAGTTTGAAGGCCGCAGGAAGCCAGCTGGCCTGTTCCCTATTCACTCTCATTTCTTGTCACTGTTCCATGCCAACACAGGTTGGTCTCCACTGTCTAAAAAAGGGGACAGGTCAAGCATCACCCTGAGCATGGAGGGACTTCCATCCCTTTCATCGTCTCTATGGGAGCGTCTAACACAAATGATGTGACTTTAGTTCAAGATGGAGTTGAGTGGGGCCCACCTATCTTTGGCTGGGCGTCAAAGCTTGTCACCTGAAACGGGGACAGAGGAGGAAGGACGCAGAATTAGCGGGGACAGCAGGTGTCTAGTAACTGCGACACAAAAATAGAGCCCAAGGGCCCCCTTTCTCCCCACCCCGGGGTCCCCTCGGGGCGCTGAAGGGCAGAGGAAAACATAGCTCCATCGCGCTCTGTTCCCCTCCTCCCGCACAGGTCTACCCAAGAGCCAGCTGGACCTCTTCGCCGGCTTCAGACTTGGGTCTGTCCTGTGCCAGCGCTTTGTGGGTATGTTAAAGGAGGAGGGGGCCAGGCCCCTGGATGGAGTGCGTTGTCTTGGTGCCCCCGCTGTGTGGCTTCCGCCTAGCACCCAGGGCTGGAGGCTGCACAAGAAAGCCCACACCCGTTTGCTGCAAGGGTTCTCCACGCTGCTTGCTCCTGCCATGTGCTGCTGCTGCTAGTAGCTAGTCAAGCGTGTCTCCAGCTGCAAACTCCACCAAACAACACTGCAGCCTCCTCCTCCCACAGGGAAACCAGCCAGTAAGTATTCGCCGAGCGCCCTCCCCGCTCCACCCCAGAGCGCCTCGGCTCGCCTCACAAAGGGAGTCGATTTCTCTTTGCCTCGCCGGGCGCCCGTTCAACTCACCCAGCAGCTGCCCCGGAATCCCAGCCACAGCCAGTGAGCGCGACTCGCCTCCCCCGGGCTGCCTCGTCTTGGCCGTGCGAGCCGCTGCTGCATTCAGATGGGATGGTCGCCCCCACCCACCCACGCGCCAGGCTGCTGCAGCTTCCAGCATCAGACGGATGAGTTCTCTGTTTGCTACTGGTGCCTGGTGCAGAGCTGAGCGGGGCTGGGTCTTGGCGGTGCCGAGATTGGGGTGGGGGGGAGGTGTGTGTGTGTGTGTGTGTGTGTGCGCGCTGTGCGCTTCCTTCTCACTAGACGCAGTTGCTGGGAGGGAAGCGGGCAGGCTGGCTGTTTTTCCGTGGCACCCTCAGGTCTGCATCTCGCTAGCCTGTGATCCATTCACGTGCGCACCAGTCAAATGTGTAATGCTGCAGTGGGCAGTCCACCGCCACTACCGGAACAGCTGCAAATGGACTGGGCGAGCCAACTGCTGAAGGACTCTGCACCGGAGCGAGCAACACCTCGGATCTGACACCCCAGCTCAGTGCAGTCCCCGTATTTCCTTTTTCAATCAGACCTTCTCTTACTTTACCCCCCATCTAGGTGCTCCCCTCCCCCACTTTATTCACCAACCCTAAATCTCCATTCCATCCTTCCACCTTCCCTCTGTACGTTTCTTTGCTTGGCAACCACCGGCTTCCCTCAGTCAAACGGCGCTGACTGCCCATAATTTGAAATTAATTTGACTGCAGCACCGAGACTGGAAGATTGCGAAATTTATTTGATCCCTTTCCCTCCCTGTGCAAAAGGAAGCGATGAAATTTCCAATCGAGACTCCAAGGAAACAGGTGAACTGGGATCCTCAAGGTTGGTGTTCCTGACTTTATTATTCTTGCAGTTATTTATGATTCCTCCGGCGTGGTGACAGGGAGGAAAGTGACTCGGAATTGGAGTAGATGCTGCTTTATAGCCCGCTCCCCATGTGCACGGACTGCTCAGAATGTCTCATTCTTACCAGTGTGTCTTCTAGAAGCTCGGAAATGTTACTCGGATCTGGGGGAGGACAGACAAGGCTTTTTTTCCTATCTGATCTTCTCCTCTCCCTCCCCTCAGTATTTCGGTATTTCCATTGAAAACTTGCCTGGGATGGCTGGGTTCACTGCACTGGTGCATTGTTTGTTTTGTTTTCTCCCTGGCTCCTTTGTTGCTTCTGGCGATCATTGTCTTCAGTCCATGGGTGGTGTAGTGGTGGTCACAGAGGTGACTGTCTGGCTCTGGTGCCCCTCGGTGGTGACTGTCTCTTGCAGGCACCTGGGGGTAAAAGGCTGCGGCAATGTGTCCTATCGAGTGGGCAGTAGGGAGGACAGGTTCAATAATGGAGCCCAAAGGGACCTTTCTACGCTTTACTCCATCCTATTAACAATCGATCAGCAGAAGCTGGCAGATTGATTAACTCGATACTTAGGCTTCAGCTTGTTGGTGGGGTGGGGGAAGGGAATACGTCTATGCCAGTAAGGTGGTTAGCTGTAAAACGATCCAAGTTGTGTGTGTGTGTGTGTGTGTGTGTGTGTGTGTGTGCGTGTGCGTTTCTTTTTAAATACTTTCAGCGCCCGATGGGGTTAGTGTGCAATTTATTGGATAAGTGCCTGAGAAGATCCTGATCATTAGCATCTGGATGTGTGATCTCTCTTTAAACGATCAGTAGAGGATCTGAACAAGTTGAAGCCCGGGGTCTAGATTTGCGGTCAGTGGCTATTGAATAGCGCTCAGAGGAACCGTGAAAGGATGTCATAGGTTTGGAGTATTGGTCTTTCTTCTTCGGGGTTGGTTTTGATTCTCTGTTATCCCGCCCTGTCTAGCGACAAAATGGGACATTTAAAACATTTATCCTAGTTCAGACCAACCAAAATAAGAGCCATATCCTCAGGCGGAAGAGATGTGCGATGTAGTGTTTGAATAATACAGAACAATAAGCTTCAGTTTAGGTGCTACTACCTGCTTAATATGGTGAACGCTGAAATAGATGCCTAAAAACCCGTCCTGTGGTTCACAATGGGAATGTGAGCATCAGTATCTCTTAACTTCAATAGCAGTCAGTGAGTATAAGGCAGCAGGTGTTCAGAAGGGCATATTCTTTCAGAATTTGGCAGTGGAAGAACTTGTAGAACTAGTGTGAGAGCATCTTTGGTTGTTGTTTATTTTCTGCAGTCTCTTTTTTAGAATTTGATCTTACTGGAAATTGCACCAAAATTTGAAGAAAAGAAATTTCCATGGCAAATCACACATGGAATTGTGGAATGGTGATATCATGATGGTTCCCTATATACAGCTCCAATTATCTGTCAGTCAGCAATAAGAGTGTGGGACCACACCAAGTGGTTGGTCACCAAGCACTTTCAAACTCTCAATATGCCACATTGGGTGAAAACCAGCCAGAACAGATAGTGGGTTTCTTCTCTCCTGAGTTGAATCCCTAGTAAGGACTGCAGGATTGCACCTATTTTTTTCCCCAACTGTACTGACATCAGTCAGACATCAAAGATGCTAATGGATAACAAGGAAATAGGCATGTTAATTTATAGTTTTATAACAAACAAAGGAAATAAATGTTACATAAGAATGGCCATACTGGGTCAGACCAAAGGTACATCTAGCCCAGTGTCCTGTCTTCTGATAGTGGTCAATGCCAGATGCCCCAGAAGGAGTGAACAGAACAGGGAATCTTCAAGTAATCCCTCTCCTGTCACCCATTCCCAGCCTCTTAAAGAGGCTAGGGACACCATTCCTACCCATCCTGGTAAATAGCCATTGATGTATTTAACCTCCATGAATGTATCTAGTTCCTTCTTGAACCCTGTTAGGGCATGTCTACACAGAAGGGCTATGTCTAGACTGGCATGATTTTCCGGAAATGCTTTTAACGGAAAAGTTTTCCCTTAAAAGCATTTTCAGAAAAGAGCGTCTAGATTGGCACGGACGCTTTTCCGCAAAAGCACTTTTTGTGGAAAAGCGTCCGTGGCCAATCTAGATGCGCTTTTGCGCAAAAAAGCCCCGATCGCCATTTTCGCGATTATGGCTTTTTTTCGCAAAACAAATCTCAGCTGTCTACACTGGCCCTTTTGTGCAAAAGTTTTGCACAAAAGGGACTTTTGCCCGAACGGAAGCAGCATAGTATTTCCGCAAAAAGCACTGATTCCAGGGGGCAAGTGTAGACAGCTGGCAAGTTTATCCGGAAAGTTGGCTGATTTTCCAGAAAACCTGGCCAGTCTAGACACAGCCAAGGGCTAAACTTGAAATAAGCTACACAACTTTAGCTATGCTTATGTCGTAGCTTAAGTTGAAATAGCTTATTTTGACTTTTGGTGCTGTCTACACAGCACTTATTTCGAAATAGAGCACTCTTCCTCCGACTTCCTTTCCTCCTCGTACAACGAGGGTTACAGGAGTTAGAGTAAGAAGTCCTCCAGCTTGACAATATTTCGATATTATGTTAAAATAACTGCCAGCTGAGTAGACACGGACTAAGTTATTTTGAAATAGCATTAGTTATTTTGAAATAATGTTGGTGTGTACTCATAGCCATAGAGAATAAGGAGAACAGCTTGTACCAAACCAAGAACGTCCTTAAATCACATTGCGTTTCCTCTGATCAGCCGTTTGCCTTTCTCAAATTATGGTTCCTAGTACCCTCTACTTGTGAATACCAAGTAGGGCTGAAAGGTAGGTCATAAAAGGCTCTTTGGGAAGCGGCTTGGTGACTGATAAAGCTAGACAATTCCTGAATTAATCAATCCGCAGGGATGTAGCATGTTGATTTGTGTTCGGGAGCATTTTTCTAACACTTGAGGAATACACAGCATTCGTGCAAATAAGAGGCTATCTCAGCCACTTGAATACTGCGTACAGATGTGGGCATGTGGGCATATCATGGTTTTATATAGAGGCAATAAGATGTTCTCCGTCTTATTTTCTATACCTTTATTAATGATTCCTAACACTGTGTTTGCTTTTTTGACTGCTGTTGCACATTTAGTGGATGTCTTCAGAGAACTATCCTCAATGACTCCAAGATCTGTCTCTTGAATAATTATAGCTAAATCAGTCCTCTTCATAGTGTGTATATATAGTTGGGGTTATATTATCTAATATGCATTACTTTACATTTACCAACATTGCATTTCATTTGCCATTTTGTTGCCCAATCACTTAGTTTTGTGAGATCATTTTGCAGCTCTTTACGGGTCTGCTTTGTACTACATAGCAGAGTCAAGTCCACTCGAAAAATATGCCCACAAATGGGCACAATTTGTCCACTGGACCACATCATGAAGCATCCCACCCAAAGTGGCACCATTACCTTTCATCCTCCAATAACTCCTCCAGTTGAAACAATCTCATCTATCAATGAGTTCTGTCAAGGTCCACCTGGCAGTGATTATATCTGTTACCTTAAAAATATTCGAACTTCCCTCTTATCCCATGACAATTTACTTAAGAGCCTTTGGTGAGAGACCTTGTCAAAGGCTTTTTGGAAATCTAAATACACTATATCTACTAGATACCCCTACTCCACATGTTTGTTGATTCCCCTAAAAGAACTCTCAGATTAGTAAGGCATGATTTCCCTTTACAGAAACCATGTTGACTTTTCCCCAACAAATTATGTTCATCTATGTGTCTGACAATTTTATTCTTTGCTATTTTCAACTAGTTTGCCCAGTACTGACATTAGACTTACTGGTCTGTAATTGCCAGGGCCACCTTGAGAGCCCTTTTAAAATATTGGTGTCACATTATCTATCTTCTAGTCATTAGGTACAGAAGCTGATTTAAAGATAGGTTACAAACCACAGTTAATAGTTCTGCAGGTTCACAATTGAGTTCTTTCTGAACTCTTGGATAAATGCCATCTGGTCCCAGTGACTTGTTACTGTTAAGTTTATCAATTTGTTCCAAAATCTCCTCTAATGACACCTCAATCTGGGACAATTCCTCAGATTTGTCATCTAAAAAGAATGGCCCAAGTTTGGGAATCTCCCTAGCATCCTCATCCATGAAGACCAAAGCAAAGAATTCGTTTAGTTTCTCCACAATGACCTTATCATCTTTGAGTGCTCCTTTGGCATCTCGATCGTCGAGGGGCCCCACTGATTGTTTGGCAGGCTTTCTTCTTTGTTGTACTTTAAAACATTGTGAGTTTTTGGCTAGCTGTTCTTCAAATTTCTTTTTGGCATTTCTTCTTCTATTTTTACTCTTAAATTGACAGAATTTATGTTCCTTTCTATTTTCCTCAGTAGGATTTAACTTTCACTTTTTAAACTATGCCTTTTTATCTTTCACTGCTTCTTTTACTTGGCTGGTAAGCCATGGTGGCACTTTTTTCTCTTACTGTGTTTTTTAATTTGGGGTATACTATTTAAGCTAAGCCTCTATTATGGTGTCTGAAAAGTTTCCATACGGTTTGCAGGCATTTTGTAGATGAAATCCCCTACTATTATTGAGTTTTTTATTTTGATAGCCTCTATAATTTCCCTTAGTATTTCATAATCACTATCACTGTCCTGGTCAGGTGGTCGATAATATATCCCTACTCCTATAGGGTATGTCTATACTACAGTGTTATTTCAAAATATCTTATTTCAAAATAGCAATAGAAATGTAGCCCATGTTAGTCTGGTGTAGCTGAAACAAAAAACAGGACTATGTAGCACTTTAAAGACTAACAAGATGGTTTATTAGGTGATGAGCTTTTATGGGCCAGACCCACTTCCTCAGATCAAATAGTGGAAGAAAATTGTCACAACCATACCTTTGGTATATATGGTTGTGACAATTTTCTTCAACTATTAGATCTGAGGAAGTGGGTC